GCTTCTTGCTCAATGAAAGCCATCATATGCTTAATCTGCGATTAATAAAAGTATCGAAATATTTGTTAAATATTTTATAAACTAAAACGGATTCGTTTCTATTATTACCAAGTAAAAATGTATCTTATTTTAACCGGTCTCCGGTTTAACTCAGTGTTACACGCACATATGTATACATATGTACATAGTATATACATATCGGGAAATTTGGATGTAAATCCCCCCCTCCTAGTTGATCGCAATTTCGATCTCAGTGTGCGATATGTGTGTACCTACACATTTATATTTATTCATTCTCCCATTGCTTTAATCACATGATACCCCCAGTTAAGCTTTGAAATTTTAATTTCGGAGAATCCTTGAGTCCGCCATCGGACCGTACATTTAAATTTCAAGCGCCAAATAGGTATGTAAACAATAAATAAGCAAGACGGGTGCATTGGTCCTAGACAGGCCTATCAAAATAATGATCAGATTTGCAAAATACTCGGCCTATTTGTGATATGTTTGTGCGTTCTTTGGTAAATGTCACCCCCCACAACTATCCTTTACCAAAAAATCCTTCACCACCCACTTCATCCGCTAATGATTTTAAAATTTTAGACCCCATTTATCTTAGCCCAACTCGATTTCCTATTCATCAGTACTTTACAGCCAATAAAACGAGATAACTGCCTTGAACTAAGCTGATACTCATTTTGTCTCACTCACACTAATGCCATAATCTCCAGTGTGTCACATGACTAGAGCCGTTGATTTTTGCTCACTACCTTCCAATAAGAAGTGAAAACTCCCTTAACTTTTGTGAATTTTTTAGAAAATTATGTAAATTCTTTCTTTAACAATTGCGAGTCATAAAAATAGTTAGCTTTAGCACTTTGCTGTTTCTTTTCTCTTTGTATTCACAACTATCACACACTCCGTATTCACATGACATAAATCCCATGACATGATGGCTGCCAACACTGCTGCTATCGTTCATATCGTTAAATAAAGCTGCATTAAAATTTTCCAATTGGATTTTCGCAAAAATACTATGGCAAAATGAATTGGGGAAAATTTGCACCGTTGCTAGACCATTATTCTGATATATTTTAGAATTCTTCTCACCTGTTTTTGTACATCTGCGTCGCTGAGTGCCATCTTTGCAAATTTTCTTTTTTCTTTTCACACAGAATATTTTCAGATTTCACCGATGGAATCCAGTTTTCACAATCTCAAGATTCCTAAAAATTGCAGTAAATAAACATGTAAAGTTAATTTTTCCACGCGTTTGCTAAATTTTATCTAATTTGAATAAGTTATTGACAAAAATCAGTAAAACTGAACTGCCAGGTATGTGAAAAATTATTTTACTTGCAGAATAGCAGGAATAGGTAGAAATGTGTGCCTGCGCGCTACCCCAAGTCAGTCCGTCGTGTAAAAATTTTCGACTGGCTCCAATCTTTTTTTCGATCATATGATGGGGGAAATTTGTCACTTCGAAAGAATATCCCATGAATTTAGCTGTCAATGTAAGGACAGGGTTGTAATCGGCTCATGAATACCTCAATTCAAGGCGCATCAATACAAGGTGGTGTTGATTGAACAGCTGATTGGATATTTTTGCCTCTACACTAGTACACGAGAATGTCATCCAAGACGAAATGGAGCATCATTAGGATGTCAACGAAACTTATCCCCTATACCCTTTCGTTTTGACATCCTGAAGTACCAAAAAGCAATAACAAAATGCACGGGACTTTAAGTTTACTTATATGCAATTGCCACCACCTTGTATGGATGCGCCTTGCCTCAATTCGGCTTGATAATGCCCTGCAAGACGCGACTAATGAAAAATTAAGTTCTGCACAATTTAAGCCCAAAATACAATAACGCAGTGGCAGTGGTAGTGGCAGTTTTTCGAAATCAGCTGTTTTTTAGAAAGTGTGGTGTCCAATGAAGCGACTCACAATACAGCAGTGGCAGCTGGCAGTACTGCTCAGTTTAGCCCAAATTCTAAATTCACTGCCACTGCCTTTATCGCAGCAAACTTCGCATGCTGAATTTAACATAAATAAAATGCAGCCATTTTCTGCCTAAAAGACAGCAACAAAAATATAAACAAACAAAAGGGAATGTCAAAAAAAGCTGTCACTGACAACGCCGTATTTTATTTGCTGCGGCAGTCACTGCCAATATTAGCAGTAACAGTAGTATTACAAATATTTCCTTTTAATAGACGTATTTGGCAGGAAGGCAACTATTTAAAGCCGTTTTTTTGGAAATTGTTTAATAATTCCCAAAAGAACTGGGAAAATAGATAGCACCGTCTACAATGCAAATGCTCCATTAATAGGGCTTTGTCGGAGTACAACCCTGCAAGAACAGTGACCATCATTTGACAAATCATCCCTGCAAGAACAGTGACCATCATTTGACAAATCATTTGACTGGCAAGGCTGATAGAGATTTCTGTCACTGGCTACCTACAAGTTTCTATCACATTCTAAAGGGCAGTGTGAAAAATCTGATGTAAACATTTGTGTACATATGATCTTCCGTCTTCTACCAACTTATGGCCTTATATATTGGTCTCTTTTTAACCAACGCAAAATTTGCAAATGTGTTAGTAAGATAAATGTGAATGTGTTAGTTTCCATCACACAATTCTTGTAGGGATTTGACTGGCAAGGCTGATAGAGATTTCTGTCACTGGCTACCTACAAGTTTCTATCACATTCTAAAGGGCAGTGTGAAAAATCTGATGTAAACATTTGTGTACATATGATCTTCCGTCTTCTACCAACTTATGGCCTTATATATTGGTCTCTTTTTAACCAACGCAAAATTTGCAAATGTGTTAGTAAGATAAATGAGAATGTGTTAGTTTCCATCACACAATTCTTGTAGGGAACTGTTTCTCGAATTTTTAGAAATGACTTGTCGGAATCAAAATCATGCATCTACTCTTTAAGTTCATTTAAGGTATTAAACTTGTAACTAAAAATATAACTGTATAGTTTGTAATATTTCAACTTTAGACATCAAATAAATAAATAAAGCATCTTCAAAAAGCAGATTTATCATTGTCTTGCAGGGATGCTTATCAAAAATACTGATACACTGCATTATCAGCACTTCAAAGGGATTCGAATCTTCGAATTTAATGCAGCGTTTTTGCTGCATTAAAAATGCAACATTTAGCACTTTCGAACATATGTTTTCGAAGAGTGTTCATGCTATAGCATTTAGCAAATGTACATTTACGCGAGTTCGAAATCGTATGGTTTTGACAAACAGCCGTGTTCCAGTCTCTTATTTAGATGCGTATATATTACGATCAATTCTCACGCAGGAGATAATGTGCGAAAACCCTACTGAAAAGGAAAAAATAAATTTTAAACCAAAAATTCAATACAAAAACTTATATTGTTTTAACCATAACCGAAAATTTGTTTGTGTATATATTCATTTGTCGGTGCTGTCAATTAAAATTTTCTCACTTAATTAGGAAACAAAACGAACCGAGTTGATCACAAATTGATCCAGATTTCTATCAGCATCAAATCGATGTTGAATTTGCTTAACTTTTCTTTATCCAAATATGTAATGAAAGAAAGAAATAAAAGAAATCTCGATCGGCGATCACTGAAACGTAGCTAGCAACTGTATACTCGAAAAAGCAATGTTGCCACTTTTTCTCTTTAAACCATGTTCGAATCGTGGAAATTTTGGAAGATCACAGGGTTGCTTTTAGCATTTAGATTCTTAATGCAAAAATGGAGTTGCATTTAGTTGCATTTAGGTGACGAATTTTGTATGGATAAATGTACATTTAGAGTAGCATTTAGAGCTAAATGCGCTAAATGTGCTTTTACGCGTAAGCAAAAACAGCCTATAAGGCAGCATAGACAGTGCATATTTATTAGGCTAGGGGAGCTTTTGAATTAAAAGCCGAAAGATCCAGCTCTTTGTGCAAGATTCTAATAAAAACTTAAGGCTACGTTTCTTTATACATTCCAGATAATTCCCTTGACACCAAATAACTATATTTAAACTCAAAAGAGGGTTAAAAAACGTGCAAATTTAACAGTTAACACACTATTTTATAGTTTGGAACATTTGTTGCAAAGAAATTTTTTAATTTTTTTCATTTACAATTATGCACAGATTTTTGTATTTCGCATACGACTCTGCGCACTTTCAGCCTTCATGTTTATTCAGCGTTGATTCAGCTACTCGTTCGTCGACTCGTTTGAGGTGTTCGTGTCGCCATTGTCGTATCGCAGTGTTAGAAAAATTGTGTGAAAAATTGAAATCAATTTTTTGTGAACAAAAAAGTGTAAAAGTAGTAGTGCAAGAAAACCAGAAAGCGCATTTTATGTGCAAATTGCAATTGAGATTCAATATCTCCTGTGTGAAAGCTCTGAAGTATAAGAAAAAGGACTCCAATTAGGCCGTGAAGGCTACCCCTAAGCGCCAATAGGGAAGTGGAAAATTTTCGTCGTTCCGTCTAAACTAGGCACCTCAAGAGGCGCACTGAGTTTCTTTCCCAAGAACAAAGAAACAAGTTAGCAAAAGGCGAAAACAAATTGAAAAGCAATTCGTTAACCATCTAATGAGCCATCCTCGTCTTTGTATCGGCGAATAAACCGATACCAGCTGTAGTTTGCTCAGGTCTTGAGTAAACTCAACATAAAACAATTTTAGCGTCGAATTAATATTTGTTGATTAATCTACATCTGATAACGTATGCTTTTAAAATATACCAGCGTGTGAGTTTAAATTTATGTATCAATTTTAATATTGGACGCACAGGCAACGATTGCGACGGCATTTGATTTAGCAATTCATCAACAATTAGAAGCCACATTTCCGTCGAAGCATTACGTTTTTGGGAAAAATTACCTTGGCATAAAAATAAATTCAGTACGCACGCTTTAAACGCTGTTTGCGACACTAATTGTACAAGTTAAGGAATTCAGACGCAGTGTAGCAGAAGTAGCGACGTTTTGCGGTACGCGCGAACTCCTGCGAAAAACAGGTCACTTGGAATGTTAGATGCGGTGAACGCAGCAACTACAGTGTGTCGATCGTGTGTTAAACAGCAGCAGAGAACAGAGGAGAAAGGGAGAAACCTAGGTAAGTTAATATACGTATGTACTAGGAACGTGTGGTTAAATTACAAATAGAGGATGTTCAAAGCGGTATTTGACAGAAATTGGATGTAGAAAAAAGCGGGAAACTTCCTCCAAACTATACTGTGCTCCAAACTAATATTTGATAAAAAATTCAAAATAGAAAAACATCACTAACGGTGCTTAATTTAAATAGTGCTGTTGTGCTGCCAATGTTCTGTAATATTATTTTACCTTGTTTAGTTTGGCTGAATTTCTATGATATATTATATAAAAAGTCAATAAAACAGCGGGAAACCGTACAGGAATGAGAAATAAAATTGTACCAATGAAGATATATGTATGTAGTACCTAAATTGTAAAAATACAAAACTGCTTTGAATAACGTACTATGTGTGTATATGTTAAAACACGTTATGCATGAAGATATGTATGTGCAATTATCCCCATCTACCTCTTACCTTACGTATCTTACGTAAACAACAACAGTAATATGTTTTACCAACGTTGAAATCAATCAAATTCAACTACATAAACAAAGAACACAACACATGTAGCTATAAGTTGTTGTCCAGAAATCGCGCGACTCGCAATCATATAAACACATGCACATACATACATAGTTACATATATATATTTGAACGCCACCTTGCCATTGTGCATTTGAAGTTTCTTTTTTTTTTTGCTTTACAACGAAGCTTCTATATTTGCCATCGATTATATCCTTTATGCATGTCTCCTTTCATTATATGCTCACTACATGTGCCATATGCACAGGTTTTTACACTGTCAATACAGTAACAAACATTTATTTGTGTGCACACACACCTTCGCTAAAAGGGAGGCATTCGCATGGGCATAGTTTCATACGAAGTAATGTAGAATCTTTTGTTATGTGGTGGCAAGTTGGCTACTGGTGGCTGGTTGCTTGCTTGGTTGGCTGGTTGAATGATCATAACTAGGGCTCGGAAACTCATGCACTAAAAAAAATCCAAAAATATGCGCATACAATATACACTCAAAATTCACAAATGTGCGCTATAAACAAGTAAAATAAGCAATTAAAATTATTTCTCTAATATATTGTTGCCGGTCCAAAAATAAATAACTCATGGTTTTTAAAAAGAAAGTAACGAAAGCAATTTTTAAAATGCAATGTTTGGTTGGTTTAAGTGGATTGTCACCCTGGTGACAAGCAATTAGCAAGTTTGTCATTTAAATTCCACAACTTGTACAACCTACAGCCATTTGGCGGCTTTAATGAATTTCAGTACGTCTTACAGAGAGAAGCAGCTGCACCCCAAAACATTCTTTAGGAATGGCTAACCGAGTGTCTTAAGCCCCATGCTTGCAAGGGC